TAAATAACTTTGTCAGAACAATTGAAACATTGATGATAATGTGAGAAAATGAATTCCCGTCAAAAAGATTTCGAAGATAGTACATATTCACAAAAATAAATTATATGTGTGTCAAGAAGCAAAATTTGGAACTTAAAATCGTGTAACCAGCAAGATAGTTAAATATTTTCTGAGGGGAAATTAGACAGATTGACAATGACTAAAATAAAAATAATGTCAAATTTTATGATAGAGATATAGGCTTTTGTCTCTCTGTGTCGGTTTGTAAATTCAGACTATTACTTTGTTTTTTAATATTTATTATCTCAGATATCAGATATGTTCATAATAGCATGGTTCTTTGTTCAAAATTTGGATATTATTCCTATCAAATCATGGTTCAATTGCAATCTATGATCGGTAATTACAGAACGAGCAGACGTATTTCATCGAATATGGCCAAATTCAGCAATCCTGATTTTGAATTATCTGCTCGTCTGTCCAACATAGGCACTTAATTTTATAAACAATTGTTTTTTTTTTAGGCGTGGACGTGGAACTTTTTGTACCTTTATGTATTTATTTAATTTGTTAGAACTATAAAAGACTTTGACATATTTTTTATTAAGCTGTTTAAATTTTTCAGTCACTTTTGAAATGAACGGATTGACATTTAATACAACATATATTATATTTTCCAGCTTTAGTTTTTGAAAATATTCTGATTACGTCTTCAATTTTTACGTAATCAAGACTGCTAAATCTGAATTAATGAAAAAATTACTGATTGAATCAGTGATGTCATATATCGCTGATGAATTAATGAAACGAATCCGCTGTGCAATTAGCGATAATGGTGAAGCTCACTATTTTGTCAGCGGTTATATCGTTCATTTATTTATTGGGTTTCCGAGAAATATGTTCGTGTATGATAGACAGATAACGGTCACGAGGGCTGCAGGCGACTTGTGTTAACTGAATATCATTTGATGTCATTATCTTTTACGTTATTCATATTATTAGTAAAGAGAATTGTGAAGAACTGCAGTGAACCTGAAAAGAGAAGTGATATATACTATTTTCGTTTTAATAAGTATTTACGTTGTTAACTAAACTTTTGATAATGTTTTCTCACTTTCGATTTCGAAATTAGGCTCATTCGACGCATTTTTGCGTAAAATGAAAGAATCTGGCAGAAAAAATCCTGCTCTGCGAAGCGAGATATTGTGGATTAAAGTTGACGACTATTGAGGTTAGGAAATCTGTTACAGTTATGAATTCACTACTTTAAACCCGCACGTTCACTGCTAATGCAGAGAATTGTTGTTTATAAATAGTGATTTTTTGTTTTACGCAAAAATGCGTCAAATGAACCTAATTTCATCGAAATCGGAGGAAGATTTTCTGAAGAATTACCATTTATTACTTTATTATATACATAATATGTCTAAATTGTGTATTTGGACTCATTTCAATATGTTTCAGATACTCTTCTGAAGTTTTGATATGGCTGATATTTGATTGACTGATATTGTAAAATGAACAGAAGAGAGGTAACAAAGAAAATATTAAACCTTACAAAAGATGAATTCGCTTCAAATGCTTTTTTAAATGAGCATTCTGTCAATAAATGAGTTAACGTTTTTTCATGTAAAGAACTTTTATAATACTTTTTATAGTTGTAATACACATATATTCCACACTTTTATTATCGTATTAATTAACAAATTCATAACTGTGACGACATTCGCAGATTTTTTTTCTTTAAAGTTGAAATCACTGGAAGATTGTAAATATCTCGTGACATGGAATATGCACTTTTCTTTCAGTGATTGTAAATCCTCTCTTTAGATGACTTTAATGAATCCTAATATTTTTATTAAAATTTCGTTATCGATCTACAGTTGCAGCAAAAAGGTGAAATCGTTTAAATTGTTCTTTATGTCATCAAAATGTCAGTAATGGATTAAATGGTTTAGTACGACATTTACAAAATTCTCATGGACTTTCAATTCAGGAATGGGGAATAATAGTTTCGAATGTGGTCAAAATGGATATCGTCGAAAATTTATATATTTCTATACATTGAGGAGACACATACGTCGATATTATAGAAACAGATGTAATAATAATTTAGAGCCTGAATTGATCAATAATGAAGATGAATTTTGTGCAAATAATGTCGAAGAAAGAGAGGAGGAAAATGGAGGGGGAAGTATGACAAATGGAGAAGTGCGACAAATGGAGAAAGAAGTGCGACAAATGGAGGAGGAAGTGCAAGAAATGGAAAAAAATTATGAAGACATTCACGAAAATCTAACTATTATTTATATACTTCAATTGTCAGAATAATTGCAAGACTTCAATCCAAAGGATCTATGATTAACTATTATATTATGAATAATTTTTTAAATGAATTAGAGGAAATAGCTTTGGGTTTAATTAGTTTCTTGAAAACAAAAGTCCTTAAATATTTTAAAGCATGATAAAAGATGCTATTGAAGACCCTGAAGTAATTGAATTACTTTCTAACTTCGATTTTAAAAATCCTTTTGACAATTTCCTTGGAAAATCAAAATAAAGGCATTAAAGAATAATTGTAGTGCATTGAGCCCGTTACATTGAGCCCATAGAGATCTCTCTTGATTATCATATGTATTGGAAAACGTATCGGATAGTGAAACTGGAACTTATATACCTAAACTTGTACTTGAGACTTGTCAGTATGCGCCAGTAATAGATACTTTGAAGTTGATATCAAATACAGACGTTAGAAAAGCTGTTTTCCTTGAACAGCCATTAGAGAATGATATTCTCGCTTCATGGAAACCATTTTAAAAATCATCCCTTTTTCCGCATATATAGATATGCTCTGTGAATGCAACTTTATTATAACAAGTTAGAAATTGTTAACCCTCTTGAATCTACAACAGGAATTCATAAATTGGATGCTTTTTATTATATAATTCAGAATATTCCGGCTTATAACTTTGATTTAAGAAGTATACACGCAATTACTCTGACAATTGAAGTATATAAATAATTCTTCTTTTATTGTTCTGATGCAGATGTCAAAAAATATGGGTTTGACAAATTTTGTCTCCTTTTTTAAATGATTTAGAGAAGTTGATGATGAAGGTGATGGAGTTAAAATTATGCTTCATGATGAGGAATTCAATTTACATGCAACTATAACTGTTTTTTGTGGAGACACTTTAACTGTTCATGAGAGGTTTAATATGCTTAGTTTAATGCTTGGTTTAATATGCTCCTAAGACTAACAAGTTCTATCGAATGTATATTCTAGAAAAGACTTGCATGCTAGAAAAACAAGATTAGACATTAAAAGGACTGAAGAAATATTCAACGAACATCTTAGAATATTACGCAGACATAATTTTTCTATTGCAGCCATATCAGCAACTGGTACAAAAGGCAATTGTTGTCTTAACAAGTCACGATATTTTCATATTTGTAAAAATAAAATTTTTGATGCCATGCACGATATTTTTTGCGGAGTACACTCTGTGAGATTAAAACTTGTACTTCATTACTACATTTGCATTTCAAGAAAATTTACTGTTGATTACTTCAATAGTAAAATTGCATCATTTCAATATGACTTTGTGAAAAACAAAACAAATCATCCGCAAATCTTTCTATGTATATGCTTCAGAAAAATGATTATTTACTTAAACCAAAGGGCAGATGTGGATATTACTAAGAGCCTTTTCATTCATTGTTGCAGAAAAAATTGACAAAGGAAATGAACACATGGAACTAATATTATTATTAAGAATTATGGAAATCGCGCTAGCTCCAAGAATAACAAGATCTTTGATGCCGTATCTACTATAATACTAACAATGTGACTATAGACAAGTGACTATAAACTTGACATGTTTCGGAAATTTTTCCCCCATATTAATGTCATTAACAAGTTCCATCATTTTATTCATTACTTAGATTGTATACTTAGATTGTATACTTTGGGCAGGCTCTCTACAATGCTATTTTTGCATTTACTTTGAAGCAAAACATGCTGAAATTAAATTGCGAACTCAAAATGTCCATAATTTCAAAAATCCTCCAAAGACTCTAGTTAATATGCCAATGTGTTCAGAGCTCTAAATGGATGATGTGAAATTGGAAAGTACAAATAGATAGTAAAATTCTTCATATGCAAGAAACACAAAGTAGAAAGTTTCTATTAGAATTAGGCTATGAGGATATAGACGATGTGTTTAAATCCAGAAGTATTAAAATAAATAGAATTTAGGTCTGATTTATTTGTTTGTCTTGAAGCTGCAGTGAAAGAGAGGAAAAATCTCTCTTTATTTGGGAAAATTATAGAAATACTTTTCTTAGAAGGAAATGAGGTGTATTTCTTAATGAATCGCTATAAAACTACAATGTTTAATCCGCATTTTAATGCATTTTGCATTGACATTGAAGCTTTAGAACATGCTTTACTTTTTATCATAGTTTCTTCATTTGCTCACTTTCAACCATTCAGTGTATGAACTGAACCAACCTCAAATCTTTACATTAGTCTTCAACACATTTTTTGAAAGTAAGTATGTATATCTCTGAAGAAGAATCAGCTATGATATTGCTTTGTATTTTGTGTGTATAGTAGTTTCTGCAATTATAATTTACTGTTTATTTCATGGATTTTCTTGTCTGATATTTTATTCATAAAATTTTTCAGTAATTTATAATTTATAAGATTGCCTATGACACATATTTTATTCTATTATATACAGATCTATTGTAATGATCATCATGGTTTTTGGATTATTATTTTTCTGTATTATTTTCTGAATATATTTTTCTTGTAATATGATTTGTTTCTAAATATTATGTGGTCTATTCATTGCTTCGCCTATTTTTGTAATTAATGTCAATTACTAATAAAGATTTTTTTTTTTACTCTTTTCAGGTCCCATCTATCAAGTTTTGTTAGAGCTTTTAGAATTGCAAGGACTACAAATTAAATTTGAACTCAGAAAAATAATAACAAAATTTCTTAATGAATTAAAATGTAAATCTACTAAGTAAGTTTGCTTTGCATACTATGCGTAGAGTAATTTCTAAGCTAAATTTCTATAATTTTATATATTTCACATTGTTTTCTTCAGATAATACTAGAAATCTTTTCCATTGATAATGTGCATGAATTGCTGCAGCAAGAAAATGAAACAGTACAACAAATTGAAATGCAAATACTTGGAAGTGTTGCAACAACATCAGACCAATATTTCTTCGCAAACTGCTAATAAAACAACCGCTTCTACTAATTATGTTAAAATACTTTCCACAAACAATCCACTACAAGGTCAATCCTAGCAACTTTCAATGTTTTCTTCCTGCACATAGAAAGAAAATTTAAACGTATTCTCGGTAAAGTTTTTCGATTTTTCAAAATAAACGAAATTTAGATTCTTTATATATTCTATGAGTCAGTTTTTATCACTTCCTTTTATTTTTAGCACTATGGAAATGTAGAAAAAACACTTCAGAACCATGTTCAAGGTATCTCTATATTAAATGCTGCACGTAAAGACTTTTTCAATGAGTCTCATAAGAAAGCCTTCATGCATATCGTTGTGGTTGAAGCATTTATTGCAGCACAAAATAACAGTTTGTATTGTAGATATTTCATAATTTTTTGGTTTCATCCCTATCAAGATAGATGTATTGGGAGTACAAATTAGTTCGTTTTTTTGTGCATTTATTTCAAAACAAAATGAATGAACAGATCAATTAAAGTATTGTCCATCGCTGCCTACTTTTTCCCATCTCTCAGGCAATTTTCGAATTTCATCTCGAAAAAATGACTCATTTTTGGAGGCGATCCAATTTTGGAGCCAATTTTCGATTTCTGCGAAAGAAGTGAATCGGTGACTTGCCAAATCGTGCTGCATCCTTCGGAACAATCAGTAATCAGGAGCAATGTCCGGAGAATATGGTGGGTGCGGTAAAACATCCCATTTGAGCATTTCCAAATATTTTTTTACGATTTTAGCGATATGAGGCTGAGCGTTGTCATGAAGAAGAACTTTATCATGTTTTTGCTCGTATTCCGGCCGTTTTTCTTGCAATGCACGCAAACGAAACAATTATAGCCGATATCGATCCCCCGTAATGGAATCGCCAGGTTTTAACAGCTCATAGTAAACAAGATCCTTTTGGTCCCACCAGATATAGAGCATGATTTTCAAACCATGAAGGTTTGGCCGATGTTGATGTTGAGGTCGATGGCAACGATTGATGACCGGGCTTAGCGTAGTATTTTTTTTTTCTTGGTGTTGTCGTAGAATATCCACTTCTCCTCTTCGTCACAATCCGATGCAAAAAACCTTTTCTCTATTGTCTTTAAATCAGCTGTTCGCAAGTGAAAAATCGCCTTTCAACGTTTCGGTTTCAATTCATAAGACACTCAATTTCTTTGTTTTTGAATCATTTCCATGGCTCTCAATCGTACAGAAACGGCTTGTTGAATTACCCCGATGATTCTGCAAGCTCCTCTTGCGTTTGACTCTGATCTTCTTCGAGTAATGCCTCTAATTCTTTTTCTTCGAATTTTTTTGCTTGTCCAGAGCGAGGCTTGTCTTCAACACTGAAATCTCCATCCTTGAAACGTCGAAACCATTCCCTACATGATTTATCAGTTGGAGCAGTGTCCACCATAAACTTCGACAAGCATTCGATGGCTTCAGCCGCACTTTTCTTTCAATTAAAGCAGAAAATCAAAACCTCCGCAAATGCTGCTTGATTAACACAAAATTCGACATTTCAAACACAGTAAAAATTAAAGTATGAAACTCAAAGTGATATAAACTGAATATTATTAGCAGATGTTTAACCTCTCTGAAACCGCCAAAATCAGCTGTCACTGACATGAACCATTCACAACAGCTGAAGCTATCTTTAGAAAAACGGACCGAACTAATTTGTACTCCCAATAATGTAATGGCATTCTGCTTTAGCTATTCTCCGATAGGATGATGAAATCAAAATATCACTTGCAAATGGCATTGTTTCCGAATTCCCTCTATTAAAAAATAATGTGAAAGGATGTAAAGGACATGTAAGCCATTCAAGAATAACAATATTCAGTGATATTTCTTGAATCATGATATTCGTATTTATTATTATTTAATGTAATATTTTTAGGAAAATTTATTTTGATCCTAAACTGGGCAAGGATTTATTGAATATCAGTTATGGACAATCGCTAAACTTTTCTCTAGAAAAAGAATACACTGCATTAACAGTGAAGAGAAAAGCTTAAAGGAAAGTCCTACAGCTTCAAGTAGTATAGTAATTTTCAAGTGACATAGTAATTTTTAATAAAAAACTTTAAGAAAGAAAAGATTCAGTATACCATATCTTGGAATCTCAGCTTTTAATTAAATATGTTTATAAATACGCAATACATCAATTTGATTTATATTTTTGGTTCTAGATATCATGGATGAAGCATAAGTTACCGATAATAAAGAATTGATCAAACTCTGTCTTCAAGAAACTTTTCCAAATAAAAGACAATGGATCGTACTCCGGCCTTATTATATCTAGCATTTTTGAAACATATCCGCGCCTTCTAGACTATCATGGTGAGTCATCTCTTTCAAGAATTTTAGAATTACTGTTATGAATATGAATTATGATAATTTTTTATTTTGTAGGTAGAATAAGACTTCGTTAGTATTTATCCAAATTGTACAGAGTACAAGTTTGTGACTAAATTCTCTTCCTTTTATACTAATAAAATTCTTACGCCATACAATATAGATCAGATGTTATAATGAAGATTGAGAATCTTTCTGTTAATGACAGTGATTGCTTTAGTGTATTATAAATGATTTCTATTTATACTGTTAAATATAGATATTATATGTTAAATATAAATATTATTGAATCAATAAATATTATTGATCGAATAGTTCTAAAATTTTTTTACAAAATGCCTTTTTCTTCTTATTAGATGCTTTTCGAGCTCTGATCGTTTTGTCTCCATTAAATTCTTCAAGAAAAAATGGAGTATAAAGAAGAAAAAATAATGGCAGGAAGAAAGTGAGTAATTCTATCCTTTTTTTTAGGTGACACTTCTTATGTACTAAATAAAATTATTTTTAATTTTATTCTATTTTATCCTATTTATTTCAGTTGCAAAATAACAAAAATATTACGATGAGTCGAAGTACCAAACCCTCATTTCATTAAAATTTTGCCAGTATGTGTTTTTAAGTTTTATCATATATATCTAGATAAAAGGAATACATTACAAATTATTGAGATACATCTTTGTTTTACAGGAAGGAACAAGTCTCCCTTATACCAAAAAAAATTTAAGGTGAATGGCAGTATACAACCGTGTATTAATGTGCATACAAGATCAACAAACGACTTCTTCGTCCAAGATGACGGATGGTTTTCTTCCACATCAAGCAAGATCTTCGATCACAGCATTTGATTTCTTATTTAAATTATATCAATTACTCTACGTTTCGTACATATTCACTTTCTCTTTTACAATTTTTTAATTTTATTGAAAGTTTCATTTATGAAATTAATGTTAATCAAATACTGTTTCTTCTTTACATATTAACATTTGCAACGTTGACATTGAAAAATCTACAAACTAGAGTGGAAGAGATGAATTTTTATTAATAGTATGCCAATATAATATTTATAATAATATGCCAAGTATATTTTTAAGCTGTCACTACTTGTCACTATTTATCACTATTCACAATTCAAAATTCTGAATAGGAAATGCAGTTTTTTAATTCAATTGAATAAAAAAAGTTTTTATTTAAAAATGAATCATAAATGCTACTTAATTTATTCAAAATTATAAGTAGGAAATTCTTAGTTTTAATTCAATTAAGTCAAAAACTTGTAACGTAAAAATAATTCACTTATGTTCTTTATTTCTCTTTAATTAGAAATAAAATGATTGATGATGAATGATTGATGTTAACACTAGCAAACTGAATCAAGTATATCCCGAATATTACTTTGATTATGGCGCGAGAGCGGCTAAGCGAGATTAGATTATCCGATTATCCAATGTCGTTTTATATTAAGTGTGGGAAAAAATTCATGGCGTTTTTTAATGCCATCTAATGGGAAAAACGCCACGAACTTTTTCTCATACCTAATAGTAACTGTAAATTGTTTATATTTCGTTATATCTGCTATATGATGATTTTTATTGTAATTTCGTGCGCTAGATTAGCTGGTTATAATTGAAGAACATGATAAATAACATACTTATTAATTGAAGAAGTGATGTAGCAGCTAACGCAACAGATTCATAATTCAGAGTTCGAATCCCACTAGGTGCGTTTTTTAATATCAATTTAAAATAGTTAATTTCAGGTATAATTATAAATAAAATTCTCAGAAATAAAATTTATAAGCCTTAAATATAAATTTTTTTTTTTGGAATATTAAACTAGTGTCAACTCCAATCCATTTCAATCCAATCAATCTATTTCAATGATTGATGTCATTTTCATGGATTTAAAGTATGCATTAAAAATTTTTAATCTATTTTAATCCATAACACTCGTTTACTGAGCCTAGCAAATGAGTATTACGTTTTCGCATGCAGTTGGGATGAACGCAATAGGAATCGAACAATCGTTTGAGTCGCGTCCAAGCTCCGGACCGCAAGGGAACTAGGGGAAGGAGCGACTCAAACGGGAAACACTTCGCTTCGTTCTGAGACTCGAGGAGCCGAAGGACGAAAGGAGGACGAAGTGGAAGCCTCTCTCGAGGTCGACGCTCCGCTGAGCGGACCACAAGTCGAATGTACTCGTTAAAGGCCGAATCTGGATTAGTGTGGTGAGGTGCACTTTTACGATGTGCCTTTCTTTTCGGTTTTAAAAGTAAATCCAAGTGACCGGGAGAGGAGCAGTCGCGAGTTAACATCTATATATACAAGAATACAAGAAGATGTTGCTTGAATTAAAATAGTCGGTCTTTTGATTACATAATATAATTAGAGGTAAGGTTGTCGTTACATAATATTATTATAAAGTTATCATTACAAATTATCATTATATAATTACGTTTGGTTATCCGTTCTTTTTTTGTTAAAACAATATGTGTATGTGTAAATGTGGAGAATGAAACGAATTGAAAATTGAATTTATATATTTGTAATTAATAATTAGAGAACGAGTGAATAATTAATGAGAGGAATTAAGGCTTCTGCAGGGATGAAGGGAAATGAATAGATGGAGATAGATGAGAGCAGAATGATGACGGTTAGGGGGGGGGGGATTCCAATAAGAGAGGAGATCGTCTATAGTGGTAATCGTATGGGAAGATTCAAGAGAGAAGAAAGAAGGGGATTGGTCATTGGAAGAATCGGGAAATTGGAAATCGACGTCCGGAATAGGCTGTGGACTTGGATATGGCGAAGGGAAATCGGGTGGTTCGAGGAATTCGTTAGGATATATGTGGAGGATTGATATGAGGAGTAGGAAATGTCTATCAGTGGAGGAAGAGTAGGTAAGGGGGAAGGTGATGCCGGTATCTCTATCACGATTCTTATGATTACGGAAGATGTGTGCTATGACCTTTATCCATAAGGCAAGTTTCAACTTGTTAAAATTTTTCTTATTATGAATTTATGAATCTTAAGTTTACTATTATTTCTATTTTCAACGTATTTAGATTACGTAGACTAAAGCAATATCGTGATTGGCTTATTGGCTTATGTTTACGTCTTACGATCACTGTTGCGGAATTTTGTGCGCGGCACCCCTAATGGTTAGATCCATGGATAAAAATTAATTGCTCGGCTGAGCAAGTTATATTCCGAAACTTATCGAAAAAAAATATTGCAATCTTTCTGTGACTGGTTGTATATCAATTGCACACGAATCAATTGCACACAAGCCGATCACAGCACTCGAAAAAGAATAAAAAGAAACTTCCTACGCAGAAATCGCTGTAATTGGTAGAGATCAATTGTTACAGTGTGTAAATAAACTACATCAATTGTTACAGTGTGTAAATAAACCATTCCCCGTTTATCACAGCATACATGGAGACTTAAAGTGCCGTCTCATTTTTCTCGACCAAGTATCCTCGAAACAATCATATTGCGGGAAATTCTTGGACGGTGATCGCATGGCCGTGCCATCACAAATCCATCGTGCACGTAGCAAGATCGCCAACATTCCTTTGGTCCTTTGAGCCGGATTCTGTCAAGTATTTGGCCTCAGTGAAGTGGCGAGCAGTAATTTGACAGTCAGACAAGGGTATTTTATCAAGACGAGACAAGCATCGCAGTAGCAGCAATCAGTGCAAGCGTCGCACCAGCGACAGCACACAATTCAATAAAGCAGCCGCAAGGCCCGCGTCTAAGCATCAGAGACACAGCCCGGCTCATATTACGTCATATTCTGAAGCAGAATCAACGTTTTGCGAGCGGAATCCTGTCGACGGCGGAAAACAAGGCCCAATTCAAGACGTGCAACGGAAGTCATCCCTCAACGGCGCAACATCTGCGAGAGAAACGTTTCCGTCCAACAACGTTCGACTGGAAGGCATGTAGCATCTATCGCATCCTCTTCTAGGATTAATTGCGTACGTAACAAGGTAAGGAAGACCATTGTCTCCATTGCCAACCATTCCATTCGCCGCGTCCATTGCGTACACGCGTTCGTATTTGCATTCAAGATGGTCGATCAATCAGAAGCGACGATACTTAAGCGACAGCGCATGACCATAAAGACATTATGTACGCGTATCAGAACTTATGTAGAGTCAATTCGCCGCCATTAGCCCGTCAATAGTGGCTCGAAGAGCGGAAGGCGAAACCCAAACACTATTGGGCGGAATATAACGAGGTGCAATCGCGTCTAGAAATCATTAGATGAGTCCGAAGGTTGCGATGGTCGAGACGGTTTCGAGGAAGTGTTCTATGCGTTATCCGCTAACATCCGCGAGCTCATTTCCCCTTCGCCAACATTGCGAACGTCCATCTTTTCTCCATCCCCTTCAAGTGTTTGCGACTCAGATCGTAGTACGCATATTCATACCTAAGTTTGCCTAAGTTAAATTTACCAACATTTTCCGGCAAATATGATGAATGATTCTCGTTTTTCGATACATTCAACTCGATTATCCATTCCAATACCTCGCTCTCAAATACGCAAAGATTTCAATATCTACGAGCGTCACTCACTGGCGATGCAAATTCTGTAATCAGTTCATTAGAACTGTCGGACGCGAATTACGACGTCGCGTGATCTTAGGGAGCGATATGACAATAAGCACGTGATTGTTCAAATTTACGTCAAGGCTGTAATGGATTTATCGACTATGACAAAGGAAAATGCAACCGATCTCAGAGGAATCTCTGACGGCGTCGCGAAACATTTGCACGCCCTTCAGGCATTGAAGTATTCCACGACGCATTGGGACGATCTTCTCGTCCTCATTCTAACCTCTAAGCTTGACTCACTCACGTTACATGAGTGGGAAACTTCCTTAACAGGCAACGAACTGCCGTCGCTCAAACAGCTATTAGATTTTATCGCCCCTCGATGTCAGATACTCGAGGCTACCATAAGGGCTAGCACCACTTCCGCGAAGAAGGTCGAGACAAAATCGCAGCCAAATATTAAGCGGTTATCGTCGTGCGCGGCTATCATTAAACCTAAATGCCACTTCTATCAAGGAGCTCATGTCATTTATTACTGCAAAAACTTCGTGGCACTTCCAGTATCACAAAGGGCCGCGGAAATTCGCAGTCGCAAACTTTGCGTTAATTGCTTGCGCTCCTCTTCTCATGCATCAAGTAAATGCACTTCCGGTCAATGCAAGGTCTGCCAGGCAAAGCACAATATGCTGCTTCATATGCCCTCGCAGACCCATCGACTAACAATACCGATAAGGAAGTTGCATCTAAGGCAACTCCTCCCGTCCGTTCTAATGACTTATGCTTCAGGATCATTTATAATAATAGCGAACAGGTCATGCTTTCGATTGCGGTCGTGCTCGTCTGCGACATCGACGGCTCGCGCGGAGCGTGTCGAGC